GCATGGTACTCACAGGTAAATGGCATCCAACGTCCACTTGGTCAATGTTACTTCATGAAATGTTCTACTTGCAATAGCACACACTACACCTTCATTGCCACTCATTCCCATTGTGTCACATAATAAACACATGGTTGAAAAGACACGTGTGTTTTTCCTAGAGTACAAAATGTAAAAGTCAGCTAAGTAGCACCTTTGTTCCCAAGAAAAAGGGTCACTATAACTCAGAGGGCTGGAGCCTCTTCAGGAGTGGCAAAGTAAAGTAAAACCTTTTCAAAACTGAGTGGCCATGGTTTCATGAAAAGCTGGTGCTTCACTTTGGTTTGACCTCTTAGAAGTAGGAGTATTTTCTACTCCCCCTGGATAGGATACTAGTCCATTACAAGTTACCTGCAGCATTTTTGTTGTTACCCAAGTAACTGCTAGTACCCACTTATATATATTTTTTTGTAAACCAGTGAGATTTAAGTCAAATAACGTGTCCAAGAAAGCAACACAAAGACCCCAGGTCCAACCTGGAGCTTACGCTCCTCAGAACAACAAAGTAATGATTAAGTTTGGTATTGCCTCTCCCTCCCAACCTCAATCTCCCACCTCTGTGTTATTGATGACAAAACCATCCAATCTGCATTTTTAGAGAAGTTTCCACTTGAGTGTCGAATGTAATTTGCATTATTATGCCAAGATTGGCTTAACAAACTCACACAACTTTGTCCTCCGATCACAAGTGACACCAAAACCAATTGCGACTTGCTTGCACATTTTTTCCCATGCTTTGTGTCAGCTTCGTGTATTTGCTTTTAGTTTTGATTGGTTCACTGGATGGCCTGTGTCTTTTGTGATTGGCCAGAGTGATTACTTCGGATTTGGTTTTATGACACTTAATTAAAAGCCACTCAGTATTACTGTAACATTAAACTTACTGATCATCCTGTTGGAAATCAAAAGAATAGTCACCTTCCAGCTCAGAATACCCAAGAATCCTGCATTGAATGAAAGTCAACATTGAAAACAGAATCCAACATTGTCCAAATAATTCCTTTAAACACTTATTCAATCCATCATATTCCTCACCTCCCATTTCCGCCATTAAAATTCCCTCCAACCAGAAGAGCAACATGAGATTTCAATGGTAAAATCTGTACACTTACAAACTCTTCTCCTCCATCCTACAATTACAAGAGGATTTCTTATTAATAACTACGTTAGTGACTTAAAAATCAACCAGCAGTCCATTCACCAGCCTGTATTCATCTGTCCTAGGTGTCCTTATGTCTTTCTTTCTTTTAAGGATAATAAATCAACAAGAGAAATACCTATATATTGAATTACAAGAATAAACTCTTGCACTCAGCAGTTGAATGTTTATTGCACCTTTCCAAATACTGAGTTCTTGGGGCGTTCAGAATTGCTTGCAATGTAGTCTTTGCAAACAATATGTCAGGGTTCATTTAAGTATAAAAATGATTGTTTTCTTCTGGTAGTTTGCACAAAGTGAAGCTCTGTTCATCACATCACTTTTAACAAGTATACCAAATAAACAACAAGGATAATGTTTCAATTAATTGTTTTCTTACAGTGGGAAGACTCCATTTGTGAAGCACAGTCCATTGTAATCCAGGTGCAACTGTCCAGACTACAACCAAATGAGCCAGACATACAGCTAAAATATCTCTCTTTTTCTTTAGCAGGGTAACATCCTTCTCTGCAGATGGCTCATAAGATGACAGAGAAACAGACCTCACTTTATTATTCTCACCCTCTATATGGTGCTGTTGAAAAATAAAGGAGCCATATAAATCATTGGTTTCCAATCAAGGTTCGTAATCTTTTTCAGAAACAAATTTTCAGGACTTTTCCAGGACATTTCCAGGACTCAGATTGATTTTTCCAGGACTCTAAAATTCACATTAACGCTTTCACTCCCAAGATCTCAATGTTAATTTTCCTTACTGTCTGCCATACATTTCATATTTTTTACTTGAGTTTTTCCAGAACTTTCCAGGACCAGTAACCTTTTTCCAGGACTTTCCAGTCCTGGAAAATGCCACAACAAAATTCCAGAACTTTCCAGGTCTTCCAGGACCCGTATGAACCAAGTCCAATTCCATGTCTTAAGATTATTCAAGCTACATAACAGAGTTACACATTATGATGGATGAAATAACTGAAAGTGAATTACAATATTTTATTTATTGATCCTTACAAATTGCAAGCAGATAGGAGATGAGAATAACACTTTTTCAAAAAAATCTTCTAAGAGATATTGTCAAAGCTAAGTCATTTTTGTACTTGGTCATGACATTACATGATCATAAAGTAAATTTAGTTGGAAATTTTCACAAATTTAGTTGGACAATGCCCTGAACCCAGGCTGCTCAATCTGGAATCTAGGACCCTAACTGTAAGGACACTGTGCCTTCACAAGGGAGACCTGATACTTTAAAGGGATATCTGACCATTGTATATCAGTGTTGGAAAGGACGATAAAGGTGGCATGAACAAATCTGGGATGAATAGTACACGAGACATACCTGTAAGCAAGCCATCATCAGAACCGGAGAAAGTTCTGACCGATCCTCAGGTGATGTCATACATGATAACTGTGAGGTCTCTAGTGGCTCCTTCATTTTCCCATGTGGAGTAGCTTGATCACCTATCCTTGGTTCATGAGTGGATGGACTTGATCTCATTTCAGTTAAATTGAATAACTCTCTTTGATCATTTAGTTGCTCTGGGGTTTTTTGAATTCCTATATCAACTTCCAAAGGAAATTCTGTGCCATAAGTTTTATGTATATCATCTGTTTTAGAACAATAGAAATTAGAGTCTCTCTCATTTGAAAACTTGTTAATCTCATGGGGTCTTCTAGAGTCACATTGCATTGTAGTACATGTAACTAATAACCTCTCATTATTGTCAGAAGCACTTTTATAGTCTAGCTTGCCCTGTTCATTGCACAAATCGTGGTGTTCATAGTCATCAGTACTGAGTTTATTTTTCCTTTCAACGCTGCTGGTTTGTTGAACATCATCAGCTTCAGCTGAGACACAAGTTTCAACACAACTGCTGTCATGATGACCTGATTCCACATCTGCCTTAGGAAGAAAGTCCATTTGTGTGGCTATATTCTCTAGTGGTCGTACTTTTGGGGAAACATTGAAACTTTTTACAGGTTCTTTTTGCAAGAGGAGATCATCTTGAGTGTGTTCAGAACTTAACAGAAAGTTGTTCACAGCACACTCTGACTGCTTATTGCATACTAGATTTACAGGCATGGAAAGGACCTGCAATTTATTGGTCCTGTTTCCTTCTAATGTGTTTTCAGCTGAATTGGCCTCCACTTGCATTGAACAAGCTAGAGCAGAACTTGCAACCTTTGTCAAAGGATGAGAACAGCCTTCCTTTATTTCTTCCTCACACTTTGACTCTGGCAAAATGTCACATTCTCCAGTTGCTATCTCCAATTTTTCATTTGCCTTTCTATTAATCCTCTCAACTGGCAAAGCACCTTTGATCTTTGCAAGCTTCAACTTTGCAAACTCATTATCAGGTAAGGAAAAATCTACTACAGCACTCAGGAAACCACCATGTTTCATCTGTTCTGAGGAAGGCCTTGGAAAAACAAAATCTTCAGTTGTTATTTCTTCAGCGAAATTGTTACACGAAGTAGTGTCTGAAACATTACAGTTTGTTATTTTGTCTTTGCTGCATGAGGGGATTTCTTTCTTTGTCCTCAAGTGTTTTGATCTTGCTCTTTTTGTTTTCCTTGGCTGGCTATTATCCTGGGAAACACCTGTTTGGCTCCCAAAGTTGGGTATTGATTGCAGCCTTGGACTTCTCCTTGGAAACTCCTCTTCGAATAAATGCAACCAGTGCCAGTTTTGCGGAGAAACATTGTCATGTTCCTGTACAGAGGAACACCTATGGGCATCTCCCTTTTCAAAGGAATCTTTAGCCTTTACAGAGGCTTTACCACTAAGTGATACTAAGCCTTCTTTATTCAAGTTTTCTTCTGATTTATGACCTGAAAAATGAATGTCATCCACAACAGCAGTATCTATGCCTGGATTTTCCATCTCCTCAACAACAATAACTTCCTTAGCTGAATCACTGCACTCCTGACATTTAGTCATAATTGGAATATCTGCAGGAAGACAACAGCAACCTACAATTTCTGCTATGTTCACAGTACAGTCTTGACCATCCTCAGTCCTGGAGCAATCTCTGTGATCTACCCCAACCACATCAATGTCAGTAATCTTCTCCCTCTCAGGCAACAGAGGAGCGTCACTGAATGAATTAACACAATTTCTATCAGCTGCAATAAAGTTGTGACTGCTGCTTTCAGTGTGTCCCTGTAATGCTTTAATGCCAACTTCAGGTTCAGTCTCTCCTCCTGTTGGTGCAGATCTTCTTCTACACCTTTCCTTAGGTCTACTGCTTTCCTCATCTTCATTGCATTTTTTCTCTAGGCATACTTGTCTACTGGTATCTACCGTGTCCTTGAATGAAACACTTTTACAGAGCCGTTTTTTGTGACGTGATAAGGGACTTGATTTCCTAACATCAGGGGAAAACACCCTCTCAGACAGAGGTGTACTAGACCTGTTCTGAGCATCTACACTATGATCTGTCTTGTCATCTTTAACTGCAAAACCATGAAATGTTTGCCGCCTTTGCTTGCTTCTTTCAGCTCTCTGTAGAAAGGAGAGTTGTAAATGGGTTCTAAATCACTGACTGAAGTAATTGTGACAAAGAAAAGTTAAACTAATCTATTGGAAATTCCCGTAGGTGGACACCTCATTAGCAGGCCTGGTCACACACAAACACTAATTCTGCATTCCATCACGAGTGAATAACCATGTAAACCAGATATAGAAATATTCATCTATTGTATGGATGTCTGCTGATAAGAGTTCCACTTTTGAATGCTAGCACCATCATTTGCACTAGTGGTGTGGATAATGTGCAAGACTCGTTCACAACTGTACAAAAATAGACAGAAAATTGACCTGAAGTTTTTTCAAAGCCTTTGCATGTTTCCTTTCCAGTTCTATCAGCCGCTGCCTTATCACCTATATAGATAG